CCAGTCAAGGGGTGGGAGTGAAGGGAACCTCTGAAGGTCCTAGTCCTGGTAGAAAAACGATGTGCCGGTCACGGCCTCCTCTGGCGTCGAAGAAATCCTTTGGGAAACCCAGAGCAGCAGACACGCGGATGCTTTTTTGGTTTTTCTTTAATAACCTTTATATTTTGGAATAACTTGATTTACAGAAAAGTTGCAAAGACAGTATAGAGAGTTTGCGGATACCCCTCACCCTGTGCGGCAACTTTTATTTAATGCCTCAGAATCACTGTGAAAAGTTGGGGGCCAGTGACTCTCTCACGGACAGCTTCTGGCACGAGTGGTCTTTTGGATATTTTGGGTGATGACAGTAGCTCCAAAGTTGATGGGGTTTATGATCGCGTTGACACAGACACCCACAATTTGCTTATTGCATTTTCACCTGCCTGGTGTGCTTTGAAACCCAGGTTGAAATGCTGATTAGAAAACCTTAAAGTCCTCAATCCAGTCAACAAAACATATGCAGTCTGCTCTGTGCCAGTCAGTGTTCTCTGGGCTGGGATGCAGGGTTGAGCAAAACAAATCAAGTCCCCGCCCTGTGTAGCTTATCTGCTTTTGGCAGAGTCACGGTGGGGGTGCATATAGGTATTTCAGGTGCTGCTAAGTACTATGTAGAAAAACAAAAGCTGAGAAGGGGTTTGCCATTGTAAAGAGGATAGAGTGGAAAGACCTTGAAAAGGTGGCATTTGAGTAGAGACCTGAGAGAGGTTTGAAAATTGTCACTCAATAAGTATTCAAGTTTTGTACTCAGCCAGGCTCTGCACATTTGCTTAGAACCTGAGTGTGTACTGCATCATCCTTGCCCCTAAGGTGACTCTAGTTTGGAGAGATCCGATTCCCATAATTATTGGGGAAACTGCTGTCCATAGAAGGGAAGGGACTTGTTTAAGGTCACCCTCCTCCTTAGTCTCCTGATTTTCACAGTGCTACTCCAGCACCCTTCCTCCTACAGACTCCCACACACACCTGAAACAACAGCTGACCTTCTAAACAACACCAGCAAGCCCCAACCTAATCAGTTTTATCACAGGGGTTCATTGGCAACTTGATTACTTTAGAATATAGAAACTTTTTTCCTATTAGAAATATTGATAGAATTGCATTGCGGCATGATGAAGAAAAAAACAGGAGAACTGAGTTTTAGTGGTCTGACATTTCCCAGCTGTTGGACTCTGAGCTAGTCATTTCCCCTTCCTTAGGCAGCAGTTTTCTGTGAACTCTGTAAGCTCTAAGGGCTCTTCTGGCTCTAATCTTGAGTGTTTAGAAGATGAAACAGCTTAGTTTAGTCTGTTTAGAGTGGTAGCCCCCATTGTGGCACGAATTAATTACACCAACTAGCATTTATATAGTGTTTATGCCACGCAGTGTTTTAAGTTTCTCATTTGTACTATTTCACTTAATCTTTACACAAAAGTTATCCTGTAGGTACTGTTATTAGTCCCATTTTGTATATGAGGAAGCTGAGGCACAGTGAGGCTAGAGAGCCTTGCTCGAAGTCTCACAGCTGGTAGAGTGGAGCAGCCAAGCTTCCAACCCTGGCAGCCTGATTTCAGAGGCCTTAACCACTGTAGCAGTGCCTCTTTGTTTAGAGGGGAGTCCTTGGCTGGGAGAGGAGCAGGGTGCCTCCCAGAGTAGCAGGGCAGGACTGGTTGGAGCCCATAAAAGTATGTACAGGCCACCTGTTATGAAGTGAGTGATCATAGTTTGGAGGCTCGCTTTATAATTGCCAGACTGTATGGTCCAAACAATAACAAGTACTGTAGGCTTTCAAAAGAGGGGAAACTGTGAAGGCTAGTAGTTTCATGGAAAAGGTAAAATTAGAGCTAGACCTTCAGGATGGGTGGAATTTGAATAGGTGAAGTTATTGGCAGTGGGGGTGGGGATAACAGGAGCAGAGGCCCTGGTGTGAGAGGGCAAGAGTGTTCTTCTGTGGTCAGTGAGGAGCCCAGCTTGGCAAGAGGGTGCACTGGCAAAGTCAGTCCAAGCAGAAGAGCTTTATTTTCCCTTGAAAGCCCTGAGTGGGTGGCATAGTGGGAGAGTTACACTGGAGGAGAATCGAACAGGGAGACTTCACTGGGTGAGGAGGATTGCTGGAGTGTGAAGCTATGCAGGAATCTAGGGTTGAAGGTGTCTACTAGAAAGTTGTGTTGTGGACACCTCCTGTCCAAGACCATGACTGACTGCCTCACGGGTCCCAGCAGAGCACATTAGTGTAACTGGAATGAGAGAGCGAGATGTTGGTGCAAGAAAAAATGGACAGACATTGATGACTGAGTAGATGTAAAGGAAGGAGATGGATGACTCATGTGATTCTTGTTATTTCCTTAACTTTTCCCAAAATATGCATGTAAAACTATTAGCCAAGCAACATGCCTTATTAGAAAGAGCATTGATCCTGTTAATTCCTAATTAGAATAGGCTATTGTGCTAGATTACCACACATACTCACTCGAGGTTTAAAGTTTAGTTGGGGGAGCTACTTGAGTCCCTCTCTCCTTCCTGCTTTGCTTTCTGAAGTCAGTGATCAGCCTTTAAGAAATGGGTGAATTAGATGCCCAAGGAAAGTTTATCAAGTAGAAGAGAGATGTTCTGTCTCAAAGGCCATGAGCACATATCACCTCCAGAGAAAACCAAAGCAGTTGTTTAGAACCGTTTTGTTTCTTCAAAGAGAAAGAAAGCAGCTAACATTTACTAGCACTTGCTCTGTGTCAGGTACTGTTCTGAGCATTTTTTTGTATTACCTCATTTAATCCTCATAATAATCTTTAGGGTATTATGATCATCCTCTAAACTGAGGCATAGAGAGGTTAAGTAACTTGGAAGCTAGTCAGTAGCAGAGCAGGCATATGAACTCAGGCAGTCTGGCTCCAAAGCCCATGTTCTTAGTCACTACACTATACTGAAATTTTATGCCCTACTACATGTGAGCTGCTGTTAGAGAACTTTACTAGAAGTACAGTCTGCACTTATTTATGTAGATGTCTGGATGTGTTATACACATACATGTATTCATATATACTTAAACATTTGGAGACTGTATTTAAAGTTTCAGTGTGTGTATATCTCTGTGTGTGTGTGTGTATGTGTGTGTTTTAAAGTATAGGAAGTAGAAAAGTCTCAAGAAAAGTGGAAGGAACCATCAGGAAAAAAAGGATAGCAGATATCTACAAGTAGCCTAAAATGCAAAACAATAAGATCTAACTAAAGGACACTTCAAAACAGGTGGGGGGGAATTAAACCCATTTGTGAGATTGGAAATAGAGCAGGCTATTGTTCTATAAAAATACTGAGGTTAAAGTAAGACTTTAGAAGGTCTTAAATTACTTGAAAATTACAGTTCGATTTAATTGTACCATAAATAGGTAATAATTTTACTATCAGGGCTTTAATTTTTATGTGGGAGTGGGAGGTAGGTAGGTGGAAAGGTTGTTTCAGAACGTTTGCTGCAGTGTGGTTCTGGAACCTGCAAAATAAGGCAGATAATCCTAAAGTAGATTCTAGTCTTCAGTAGGAGCAAGCTTTTAGTAGAGGCTCTCTACCTGACAAATGATTTGTCTTCAAAACATCATTGATGTGAGGTTAGAAGGGCCAAAGTGGAATAGCTGTACACTTGTAGTCACTTCAAATCCTGTTGCCTGAGCCATTGGTGCTCTCTGGCACTAACTGGGTTAGAATGAAGTGCAATAGGAATTCTGTGTTTCCATAAGGGCTTGGACTGCTGTGGGCTGCTCCTCCCCACCTTTGGGCCTCTGTTCTACCTTGCCGAAAATCTACTAGTAGTAGAGTCGGGAGAGGAAATAAGTATTAAGAGTCTAGGGCCTTTGAAGGCTGCTATGTACAAAACTGAGTGTTTGGGAAATCCCAACTACGTAGTGCCTGTGGGGTTGATATTTTTGGGACACATGGAATTTTTTTGTTTAGTTAAAGAGGAAAGTAATGCTGTAAGTATTACAGGTTATGTAAGAGGCCCAGTGCACTCCAAAGTATTGCCACAGGGTATGAAATATAATTCTATTGATTGATAAATTAATATAACTATAGTCCTTAAGTAATTAATAATTATTAAGTCTACCACTTTATAGATAATTGGGAGGGTGTTTTAAAAATTAGTTTAATAAATTTTATTTTGGAATAATTTTTGATTTACAGAAAGATTGCAAAGGTAGGATAGAACACTCCTATACACCCCTCACCCAGTATCTGGGGGATGATTTTTGTAGTCCTGGGTCCTTTCCCTGATCTTAGAGCTGGGTTGAAAGCAATAGTGAGTAAATATTTTGTGGAGACTTCCTCCAAATAAAACCCATTTTTAAGATACTGGCTCACAGTTTCTCCTCTTTCCTTCCCTCCTCAGATTAGCTAAAGCTACAGTTCCAGCTGGTTAGTGTCAGACCTCAGGGGAACAGCAAGGTCTGTTAAATCTCTTTCTCAGTACTTTGGAAAAGTTATAAAAACAATTGCTAGATCACGTTAGCAAGCAAATGAGCCACTTAAACTCACTGGCAGAACTACTGAGATGTAAGTGACTGTATTGAGGGAGATATGGATCCCAAGTGTGGGGAACCCCAAATTCCTGCAGGAGGAAAGCTTAGGAATTTAAGAATAAACTCTTTTCTTTATAGCAAGTGGTGAAGAATGTGGACTTGGAGCCACACGAATTTCTGGGTTTGCACCCAGCTCTGTCATTCACTAGCCTTAGAATATGGGACAAGTGATTCAAGGTCCCTGTGCCTCAGTCACGTCATCTTTAAGATGAGGCTGATAGTCCCTTTCACATAAGGTTATGAGGATTCAACAGATGAATATGTGGAGAGTACTGAGAACAGTGCCTGTCTCAATAAACATTAGATATTTCTACTCAGTTTTCTTATTCTTGACTTATAAGACTTGGAGGAATGAATTAAATGAACCACCCCAAACAGAGACTGATATTGACAAGTTTATTTCTTATGCTTGATTTGACCAGAACCTCAGCCACCGGTGACAAATTTGAGTGTTTCTGTTGAAAACCTCTGCACAGTAATATGGACATGGAATCCTCCTGAAGGAGCCAGCCCGAATTGTAGTCTATGGTATTTTAGTCATTTTGGCAACAAGCAGGATAAGGTAAGTTTTCTGGAACTTTATGGTATTAATGAGGTAAAATTAACACTATGAATTGGAGCCAAGAATAAGCCAAATTCTAATCTTACTTCAGGGTGAGAATTTTATTTGGGGCAATGTCTAAATTTTAACTGGGAAAATTACAGAAACAATTGTTGAGGAAATTGAACATATGAAATTATTTACTAATTATTTGATAAATGCCATTGAGATTCTCTGATAGGAAATACTAGATATATTTATCTGTTAGACACTCAATAAATAATTCTGTTAAAATTGGTTCCTGTGTTCCTGTGTTCCTTTTTAGTTGATGTAGTTGACCGATTTAAGTGAATTTTTGTTAACAAGATTGGATAATTTTGGGTTCTTTATAATAATCTTATTCAACGGAATTTTCTCTTGGGCTTTATTGATTTGTAGCCCCTTCTAATTTACAGGTTCAGGTCATCTGTTCAAAGCTGTTTTTTATCTTTATACGTTCTTTCAGTGGGAGGGGGTGTGGGGGGATGTTTGTGGTTGACTTTGTCTAGGCTTTTGCGGAGGCCAAATGAGAAGCTGTTTTGTTTTTTATCCTCACCCGAGGATATTTCTTCCATCGCTTTTCGGAGAGAGTGGAAAAAAAGAGAGAGAGAAAGAAAGAGAGAAAGGTCGATGTAAGAGACGCATTGATTGGTTGCCTCCCGCATGTACCCCAACTGGACCCAGGGATCAAGCCTGCAACCGAGGTGCATGCCCTTGACTAGAATCGAACCGGGACCCTTCAGTCCTTGGGCTAGCGCTCTAACCACTGAGCAAAAGTTATTAGTGACAGTACTTTGGAGCAGTGAATTGTGAAATCACCAGTTCAAGCAATTTGGTGGCAGAAAGAGTCAGGAGAACTAGGTTCTAGCTGGTGAGCCACTTAGCTAGCTCAGTGGCCTGAGGTAAATTACTTAAATTGAAAAGGCCTCCCTGAGCTTCAGTTTCCTTGTGTAAAAGTGTGGCTCTACTCACTTCCCTGGTTTTGCTGGGACAAGGAAAATAATGCCTGTGAAGGCTTAATAAAGTGAGGATGAGATAGGCTCTTTCTCTTGAGGGAAATGTGCTAATCTGCCTTCCTCGACCTTTTCTTGCTGAGGTGTTAATTAAGGTTTAGGTGTTAATTTATAAAGAATTGAGGCTAGTCACCTAGCTGGTGTAGCTCAGTCGTTGAGCGTCAACCCATGAACCAGGAGGTCATGGTTCGGTTCCCAGTCAGGGCACATGCCCAGGTTGTGGACTCGATCCCCAGTAGGGGGATGTGGAGGAGGCAGCTGATTAATGACTCTCTCATCATTGATGTTTCTCTCTCTCCCTCTCCCTTCCCCTCTCTGAAATCAATTTAAAAAACATATTAAAAAAAGAATTGAGACTAGTAAGAAGGATTTGCATTTTAAAAGAGGTCCTCTAAATGCGGAAGCCTGTAATATTCCTAGCAGTGAAACTTGAGTAGTTAGAGTTCTGCTTTTCACAGTGTTGGCTTCCTCTTGTTCCTAAGGAGGGGCCTTAGGCATTTGGAGGCTTAGTAGCAATTTTTGGTAGTTCAACCTTGAGAAATTCCAGGAGAGACCCTTAAGTCTTCCCAACGTATCTAATTGAAATCTTGAGGAAAGGTCACTTTTTTTTCTAACAGGTCCTTATTTGTTAGCTTGTTAACAGCACTCAAGCATCAGTCAGGTAGACATGCCAGTATTATAACCTAGAAATGGGGTTAATTCCTCAGTATACTTACAGAAATTTAAACTTAAAAGTAACTTGAGGAGGCAGTGTAATCAGAATTGGATTTGAAATTTTGTCTCTTCCGCTTTCAAGCTGTGTGATCTTAGGAAAGTCACTTAACCTCTCTGAGCCTCCATTTCCTTGTTTGTAAAGGCTGGTAAGGGGATGAGCTAATAATAGTACAGTTGACCCTTGAACAACACAGGTTTGAACTGCACAGGTTCACTTATATGCTGATTTTTTTCAATAAATAAAATTGGCCCTTGGTATGTGCCTGTTTCGCATCTGCAAGTTCAACCAACTATGGATCAAAAACAGTATTTCTGCATTCCCACCTACTGTTTCCCAACTGCAGATCAAAAATGCTGTTTTCAGTCTCTGTGTGGTTGAATCTGCGTATTTAAAGGGCCAACTGTAGGTCCAAAGTTATATGAGGGTTTTAGACTGCTGGAGGGGGTGTTGGTACCCCACTCTGCATTGTTCAAGGGTGAGCTGTATCTACTTCATGTGAAGGGTGTGTGTATTAAAAGGAGATATTTGTGGACCCTGTCCGGGTACCTCAGTTGGTTAGAGCATCACCCTGATGCGCCAAGGTTGTGGGTTTGATCCCCAGTCAGGGCACATACAGGAATCAACCAGTGAATCCACGAATGGGTGGGGCAGCAAGTCAATTTCTCTCTCTCTCTCTCTCTCTCTCTCTCTCAAATCAATAAATAAAAAAGAAAAGGAGATGTTTTTAATGCACCTGGCACAGAGCTAGTTTTCAGTAATTGTTAGCTTTTATTATTACTACTATTGTTAGGTTGAACCATAAGCAATTGCCACTTTTATAGGTAATATCATATGCTGCAACCTAATATTATCATTTGATCATGTGCCTTTCATTTTGCCCCTGAAGAAACCAAATGGAGAACACAAAGGGTGACCTCTGCTTAAAGTCATTTATTCCAGCCATTTGACAGCTGTTGGAAGCTATAAATCCCACATTTGTGATAAAAATAGATTATTCCTTCCAATTAGCGCTAGGGGATTTCCCATCTAAATCTTTTGAAGGTTACAATCTTGAGGCTGAGAGTAAACGATGGGAGTAATTTTCCTTTCCTCTTTTTGTCCTTTGGATCCAGCATTAATATCATCAGACAAAACTAGGGTACATATATCCTTTGAAGCATGTTGCAGAAGTGGCATTATGATAGTTTGTACATGTTAAGGGGCTTATGTGAATGTCTAAAGGTCTCAAGTTGCTAAATGAGATAAACCCCTGAGGTCATTTTCAGTCTTCAGATTTGAAGACCATTAAGATGAGTCAAGGATTATAAATGATTCTTAAAAAATAAAATATAATAGCTTAAGTGGCTGTCCTCCACCACTGTTTTAACAATCTCTAAATAGTTTCCCAATGTGGCAAGTGGAAGAAGGATCTGGCATCAGATTTTAGATAGTATCTTTCACCACCAAGAGATAGGCAATTCTCACCAGGTGAATAAATTAAAAGATTGTTGTTCCATTCAGGCATCCAGAGAGGCAGAGCTGAAGCTGACACCCCTTTCCTTCTGAGAAAGGAATCTGCAGCTGGGAAAGTTTTGATCCAGCCAAATAACGTTGGTCCTAACGTTCAGGACTCTTGCCTTGATTTTTGATAAAATTTCAAAGGAGGCCAGATTATTTGACGGGTGGAGCATAATGTCATACAGCAGCTAGCTACCAGTGGAATTAGTCACCATAGCTGAAAGTCACATGGGAGCCATCATACATAACTCATCCAGATCTACTGGAGGGCTTTAGTTCCTTGTCTGATATGCTTGACTTGCAGATCACTAGCAATTCGCATTCCTACTTTACTCATGCCAATCTAATATTATTTACCTTGGGTTTTGAAAGAGATTTTAAAAAGTGATTCTATCTTTCCCCTTCCTGTCACTTTTCTAAGTCATTTTATTATTCCTATGCCCAAAACATAAGGTTCAAATCTAGGTACTAAAGTATTTTTTGAATTAAAAATTATAATAAAAATATTCGTGTAATAAGATTCCTCAGCCCTCTCCCTGGAACAATATCTAATATAATAAGAGAACTGAGATTTTTTTCCATGATGATTGTAATTTATGGCTTTTTTAAAAAATATATATATCTTTATTGATTTCAGAGAGAGGAAAGGAGACGGGGAGAGAGAGATAGAAACATCAATGATGAGAGAGTCATTGATTGGCCGCAGCCCGCAACCCGGGCTTGTGCCCTGACCGGGAATCGAACCCTGATCGCCTTGATCCCAGGTCGATACTTAACCGCTGAGCCACGCCCGGCCGGGTGTAATTTATGGCATTTGACTGCACATTTTTCCCCTGGTGTCTTCAAAAGGAAAACTTAGCTTCCAAGCAAGAATTATCAAGGATCCTTGGGTCAGGGTAGCTCTTTTAAGGGTATACAAGATGTCCTGGGATAACATCGTTTTGTTCAACGTCGTTTTGTTGCAACATTGGTGAGATGCCATAGGAACTCAACTCTTTTATATCAATTAGCCTGTGGTAAAACTGGTTTCTTTTTTTAAATACATTTTTATTGATTTCAGAAAGAGGAAGGGAGAGGGAGAGGGAGACAGAAACATCAATGATGAGAGAGTTGTTGATCAGCTGCCTCCTGCACACCCCCTACTGGGGATCGAGCCTGCAACCCGAGCATGTGCCCTGACTGGGAATCAAACTGGGATCTCCTGGATCATAGGTCAATGCCCAACTGCTGAGCCACTCCAGCTAGGGAAAACTGGTTTCTTTATATGTTGTTGTCATTCCACTTTAAGTTGCAGAACCTACTGACAACATTAAGTGAGGACTTCCTGTGTAGGACTTGTGCTTAATAAAATTGTGAGGTTGGTGAAATTTGCATTCAGAGCTTTCCTGCCAATAGTACCATGATCCTGGGGCTGATTTTCAGCCTCACAGGCTGAGAAACTTCATTTCCACACATCACCTCTCAAGGTCCAGCCACTTCCTTACTTTGCCATGGAAAGCATAAAGGTGAAATATTCTAGAAAGCCTTCTCTTGGCCTAACTGGTGTGTTCCATCCCTGTTGGCAGCAAGTGTATGGAAAGCCAAATGACAAGTAGGCTTCTTGGCAAGGAATTAGGAATTAATTGTGAAAATGTACTTTCCTAAGAATAGCTGGAGGCCCCACTGAAGGTAGGCATAACTTTGCTGATAGGACAGAAATACTCAGTGTCCATGGAGCTAAATCACCCTTTCTTGTCTGCCAGCCAGAATTTTGCTAGCAGACATTTCTTTTTCTTTTCTTCCAGGTCTGACCAACTAACTCCTTTTCCAGAGGGCTGTCTTGTCTGGGCCTAAGAGCTGTTTAGTCTCGATAAAGTCATTTTTTTTTTTCACGTCTTTCTTGTTCATGAATTCTTGATTTGCTAGCTGCCTCTCAGAGGGCATCCTTATGTCCTGGTTTTGGGAGTATCTCACAGTTACCCTCATGTTTACCTAGCAGCAGGCATGTGAAATGGCAGAGGAGCGCTTTAGGGTGGTAAATAAAGTTTGCTGTGATAAATTTTCCCCTTCGTGGCCATCAGCACGTATGCAATAGGAAATGCTGTCTCCAACTTGAGTCAGAAACTATTACAAAACAGGAAACTCCTTGGAGCTGTGATTAAAAGCAACTCTATTCTTAATTATTACAACTCCGTCACCTTGGGAGGTGTTATTTTCCTGAGGAGCCCTTTAATCTCATTATTCTAAATCATAACTAGATTTGTGATTTATGTCTGTATGCTGTCTTTAACTTGGCTTTCTGTGGTTCCACAAAGCTGCTTTTCGGAATAAGTGTGTGGTGTACTCAGTGCATATATCAACCCTTAACATTTATATGAGTATATAAGATAGAATGATCAAACAGTATAGAAAGATGTTTAATAAAAAGTCTCTCTTTTGCCTTGAAGTCCCCTTTCTTTACTTCCTCTCCTTAGAAGTGACCAGGATGACTAAGCGGTCCTTTTGACCTTGATCTTGATGGCAAAGTGCATCTGCTTAGAATTTAATTTTTATAATCTTATTGTGTTTCCTTTAGACTTGCTTTTAGAGAGTTGATGTTTGAGTATGGTAGGTTTTATAGGTAAATGTCATGATGTTCATAGATTTAGAATGTGGGAAATTATCTTTTATCTATACTAAGGTTTCTTAATAGTGTCACCACTGACATTTGGAGCAGGATAATTCTTGTTGTAGGGGGAAGGGATGGCTATCCTGTGCATTGTAGGATGTTTAGCAGCATCCTTGGCCTCTACCCACTAAATGCTAGTAGCAGGTCCCTTCGAGTCATGACAACTGCAAGTGTTCTTAGACATTACCAAAGTTCTCCCGGGGTGGGGAGGTAGAGAAAATCACCCAGGTTGAGATGACTTATCTATACCATTGGATAACTTTCCATTTTTTTATACATCTGGGCATGCTAATGTTTTATTACATAAGTGTATTTCCATGTGTTTGCTATAGCAATGCCTATTTTTATTTCCTAACCTTAGAAAATTGCTCCAGAAACTCATCGTTCGAAAGAAGTGCCCCTGAATGAGAGGATTTGCCTGCAAGTGGGGACCCAGTGTAGCACCAATGAAAGTGACAATCCTAGCATGTTGGTTGAAAAGTGCATCTCGCCCCCTGAAGGTAACAACTGAAAGCAATTTCTCTTGGCATATAGACAATAAATCCAAATTATCCATATACTTATGTTCGGTGTTCGTTAGTTCATTCAGTTGCAAACAGTTGCAGAGTCTAATAAGTTCCAAGCACTTGTACTAGGTGCTAGCAATACAATGATCAATATGAGGACATCCCTGCCTTCGACATGCTCACCAACACCTTGAATAACAATGCCTAATAGTTACATAGCACTTAATAATTTGGCAAATCACACACACACACACTTTTCCTAAATCAAGCCTCATGAGCTTATCTTGTGAAGTGAGCAAGGCACATATTATTATTACCCTTTCCATTTTATGAGGGAACTGAGTGAGTTGCTGGAGGTTTTCAGATTCTAGATCTAGTGCTTGAAAAAAACTCCAAATATGTACTATTCTCCTCATTATATAGAGAGATTTGGAGAAAGATGTTAAAAAAGGAAATGAACTGCTAGCCTGGCTTTGATTCACAATTAGCCCTAGGAAAAACTGTCAGGTAGTCAGGGTGGTCATTGTCCTCCACCTGCTTTCTCACCCATCACCCAGTATCCTTTTGATTTTTATGTTGTATGCAGGGAGTAGCATATACTGGTTAAGAGCAGAGCTACCAGAACCAAAACGTCCAAGTTTAAAACTCAGTTCTGCCAGTTTCTAGTTGTGTGATCATAGGTAGATCACTTACCCCTTCCTCCCTTAAGTTTCCTCATCTGTAAAATGGACATGATAGTACCTACCTACCAGGACTGTTGAAAGTATTATGGAAGTCAGTATATGTGAGGTGCTTAGAATAGTGCCTGGCAAAGAAGAAATGCTTTGTACATATCATCTATTAATATTATGTTTCCCCTTGGTTGTACAGGGCCCATCTCCTACCTCCAAACCTTAGCTTTACGTGGCATGTTCTCCAAACCATTCTGTCTACCTGCCTTGTACTGATCAAAAGTATATGAAGTAATATTTATAAAATTATAAAATTCAGTACTGTTAGGGATATGGGAGCATGGTTTAAGACAACCTTACCTCCCCCATTCTCGTTTCTTTAGGAATTTAATAAATATTCTGAAAAAAACCTAAATTATATTATGATAGTAAAATGGTTGATGATGGCTCAGTACAGTACCATTTCAGGGTGCCGAGGGATAAAAGGTTTGCATTTTAAACAGAGGCATTTAATATAGACACCTGATGCCTCAACTCAAAAGAATTTTACAATAGAGATTTCAGACCATAAAGATATTAAAGTTCCTAAAGTTGTAACAAACTAGGCAACTACTAAGAATTATGTTATGCTTATGTTTCCCCAAATTGCTTCAGGGAGAATGTTTAATTTTTAAAACAAGATGTCAGTATTAATCAAAAGATGAAAAGTAAATTATAACTCAGCAAACTTTTTTTGTTAATCCTCACCCAAGGATATTTTTTCCATTGATTTTTAGAGAGAGTGGAAGGGAGGGAGGGAAGAGGGGAGAGTGAGAAACATCAATGTGAGAGACACACATCGATTGGTTGCCTCCCGAACGTGCCTTGACCAGGAATTGAACCCTCAACCTTTTGGTGTACAAGCTGATGCTCTAACCACTAAGCCACACAGACCAGGGCTAAACTTGTTTATTTTAAAGATAGATAGTGCTCACTTTGGCAGCACATACCCTAAAATTGGGACGATACAGAGATTAGCATGGTCCCTACACAAGGGTGACACATTCATGAAAATAAAAAATATTGTAATGATGCTGCCAAGGTAAATATTTTTGATACTCCTCTTTGGAAGTTAAGTTCAGAATAGATAACAGATTCCTTTGAATAATTTCAGAGAAAGTCAGTATTTCTTTTTTTTAAATGAAGCTGTTTATAAGAAATTAATTTTGGATTCAAGTTGATGAATAATATTGATGAATAATTTATATGATCAAATTAAATGATTTTGTACAAAAAGAATGTATATATAGAGGTTGTTTATATTTTCACATTAATTTAGGAATTCTGTAGTCATTTCTCATGATGAAAATATTATTTGACTTTTCAACTCTCTCTCCAGTTTGGGAGAGAGTATCAGGAGGTGAGAGAGAAAGCTGAGCATTTTAGATTTGGGTAAAGCAGCATGAAACACCCTCATCATCCCCATGCCCCAGAGTGATTGGCTAGTCTGCCTTACAAGGAAAGGAGGGTCCTAAACTCTTGGCTGGGTGTTCTAGGTGATCCTGAGTCAGCTGTGACTGAGCTACAATGCATTTGGCACAACCTGAGCTACATGAAGTGCACTTGGCTCCCTGGAAGGAATACAAGTCCTGATACTAACTATATTCTCTATTACTGGTAAGTATGGACAGGAGACTTACAGGGGAAGGACTGATTGTGATGGTGTTGGGAGCCTTTGGGTCTAACCTAGTTTAAAAAAANATGACTCTCTCATCATTGATGTTTCTGTCTCTTTCTCTCCCTCTCCTTTCCTCTCTCTGAAATCAATAAAGATATATTTAAAAAAAAAAAAAAAAGAATAGCCTATTCTTTTCAGCACACCCAAGAAGATGGACAGTTTGTTTCAGTGGAAAATGCATCTGATTTTGGTGTCTGCTTTAAAAAAAAAAAAAAAAACTTAAAAAATAATTATAGATCCACAGGTTGTCGCAAAAAATGCACAAGGAGATCCTGTGTACCCTTCACCCAGCTTCTCCCAATGGTAACACCCTGTGTAACCAGAGTATGATATCAAAACCAGAAAATTAGCATTGGTACAATCCACTGAACTCATTCAATGTTTACAAGTATTAAATGCACTCATGTTTGTGTGTGTGTTTGTGATTCTATGCAGTGTTATCACATGTATTGATATAGAACAGTTCCATTACCACAAAGGTTCCTCGAGTTTTGCTTTTATACCCACACCCACCTCCTCTCTATACCCCCTACCCGCACTCCTCTCCCCCAGATCTCTAACTTCTGACAACCACTAATCTGTTCATCTCTATAATTTTATCATTTTAAGAATGTTATTGGAATGGAATAATACAGCATATAAGTGTTTGACGCTGATTAAAAAAAACAACAGCTAACTCTGCATGATGCCCTTGAGATCTATCCAAGTTGTTGTTTGTATTAATAGTTCATTCCTTTTTATTGCTGAGTAGTATTCCATGATATGGATGTACCAGTTTGTTTAAGCATTAATTTATTGAAGGATATCTTGGTTTCTAAATTTTTGCTGTTATTTTTTTTTTAAATATATCTCTATTGATTTCAGAGAGAGGAAAGGAGAGGGAGAGAGAGAGATAGAAACATCAATGATGAGATGTTCCCGGGCATGTGCCCTGACCGGGAATTGAACCCTGATTGCCTGGATCCTAGGTCGACGCTTAACCGCTGAGCCACGCCCAGCCGGTCTAAGTTTTTGCTGTTATGAATGAAGCTACTGTAAATATTTGTGAACCTAACTTTGAAAAAAATATTTTTATCGTTGAGAGTACTTCAGATGTTCCCCCTTTTTTTTTCTCCCCCTCACCCACTCCACACCCCAGGCCTTCACTACCCTATTGTCTGTGTCCATGGGCTATGCATATATGCATATAAGTTCCTTGGTTAATCTCTTCCCACGACGCTCTGCCCCTTTCCCTCTGAGCTTCGTCAGTCTATTCCATGCATCCATGCCTCTGGTTCTATTTTGTTCATCAATTTATTTTGTTCACTAGATTCCACATGTGAGTGCGATTGTGTGATATTTATCTTTCTCTGACTGGCTTATTTCACTTAGCATAATCACCTTCAGGTCCCTCCATGCTGTCTCAAAGGGTAAGAGATCCTTCTTTTTGACAGCTGTGTAGTATTCCATTGTGTAAATGGACCATAGTTTTTCTATCCATTCATCTCCTGATGGGCACTTGGGCTGTTTCCATGTCTTAGCTATTGTAAATAACGCTGCTATAAACATAGGGGTGCACATATCCTTTCTGATTGGTGTTTTGGGATTTTTTTTGGATATATTCCTAGAAGTGGGATCACTGGGTCAAATGGCAGTTCCATTTTTAATTTTTTGAGGAAACTTCATACTGTTTCCCATAGTGGCTGCACCAGTCTGCATTCTCACCAGCAGTGTACTAGGTTCCTATGGTAATTATGTATTTAGTTTTGTAACAAACTGCCCAACTATTTTCTAGAGTGCCTGTACCATTTTACATTCCCACAAGCAATGTATGAGTCATTGGTGTCTACCTTTAAAAAGGAAAATTATATCATGCCCAGGGTTAAAAAGTAACTTAGCTCCCCACAAAATAACTTATATTTGATATTTATGACTATAGCTACAAAATCTATTAAATTGCTAAATTAATCTTTAATCATTTCCTTTCCTTTAGAGCAGGGGTGGGCAACGTCCAGCCCGAGGGCCATATGTGGCCCGTTAAATCATTTGGTCTGGTTCTGCCAAGGCAACCTCAGGCGGGACTTGAAATTCAATAAATCTAGGAGCCTTTTTCATAGCTAATTTTTAAGTTGATAATTTTGTGTGGCCTGCAAATGATGTTATAAATATCCAAATGGCCCTTGGCAGAAAAAAAGTTCCCCACCCCTGCTTTAGAGGCTAGAATTATTAGCAACAGCACAGGGAAGAAAGGACCAGGTTAATCAATTCAATTCAATAAAACTAATTAGCACACATTGTGGGTAGAGCACTGAATGGGTAGCTGAGATAAACATGTCTCTTTGCTCCTAAAGCTTAAAATGTAGAGGTAGGCCCTGTCAATTGGGTGCCTCTTATTTGTCCTTATCTTAATTCAAACATCATTTTCTCTCCAGAAAGCCTTTCTTGACCTCTCAAGGACAAGAGCTTTGTGTGTCCCGTCATTGTGGTATCCCATGGTACCTTGCACTTTCCCATGCCATAGTACTCAGCACATTGTGTTGACATTTCCTGTTTACTTAGTTGTAGCCCTCCCCAGACTGCTGTCTCCCTTGAGAGCAGGGACTGTGTCTTGTTTACCCCTGTGCCTGAAACATGGTAGGTGCTCCATATATGTTTTGAATGTTTGGTAGGATCCAAAGCGAGAGAACATTCGGGACTGGGGTGAGGATTTAGGAGGGATAAACAACTCAGGAACATTATAGTTTACAACTAAAAAGAGGAAGTTTGAGTGGATTTGACTCCCTAAAAGAATTGCTAGTGAAGGGGCCAGAGAACTAAGCCTTAAAAGGAATAGCCTGGCTCTGATGATGTTGCAGTGAGGTCCAGAGAGAGCTGTTATTACAGCCTTTTAAGAGGTCTCAAAAGTTGGTAACATCCTGTGTTTATTGTGCTGTTAACTCCTCTTGCTTTCCCTGGAATCGTTATTGGTATAATCGCGGGGAAGACCTTTAAAGAGTCTGTGTCTATAGAGAGGGCAGGGAAAGGAAGGGAAGACGTCTTAAAACTTTTATTCCATGGTAGACTGTGCAGGAAAGTAACCCAGATATAGGAATTGGAATGAAACTGGAGGTAGATGATGGTCTAGTCCTTGGATTTCTTTTTTTTTTTTTTTTTTTAAATATATCTTTATTGATTTCAGAGAGAGGAAAGGAGAGGGAGAGAGAGGGATAGAAACATCAATGATGAGAGTCATTGATCAGCTGCCTCCTGAAAGCCCCCTACTGGGGATAGAGCCCGTAACCAGGGCATGTGCCTTGACTGGGAATTGAACCCCGATCTCCTAGATCCTGGGTCAATGCTCAACCTATGAGCCATGCCTGGCTAGGCTAGTCCTTGGATTTCTTATAAGAAAAATAAGGAAGTGCCTTGGGTAATATACTAGCACAAACCAAGTCTTAGAGCAAATTGCAAAATGATCATCCTCCTGGGTGAATAAATCACAAAAAACTGGAGCAGTCAGTTCTAGAAAGCATTCTTCCTCCTCTGTGTTGATGCAGTGTCTTGCCAAAGCTGACAGCAGACAGTGCTTGTGCTGCCTTTCAGCCTCAGGTGATGCCTTAGTACAGAGCACAATCTACTGTCATTGGAGGTGGCTCTAGAAGTCATCCCAAGAGAGTGGTGGTTCACTGGACCCTGAGGGGGCAGGGATCAGGGATAGCACTTCTTGTCATACATGTTCCCAGAGTTGGTCATTAGCATGGACTCTTGTTGTAGTGTAGACCTATGCTGTCCAACACAGGAACCACTAGCACATGTGACTCTTTACATTTTAAATTAATTAAAATTAAAGCAAATTGAAACTTCATTGCTCAGTCTTACTAGCCAATTTCACACATAGCTAGTGGCTCTGGTATTAGAACAGATATCGAACATATCCATAATCCCAGAAAATTTTGTTGAGCAGTACTGATATAGATTCTATATCTTCTGCCCTAACCATCCCATAACTTATCCTTTTCTGGAGCCACACTCCCTGGGTTCAAATCTTGGCTCTCTTCCTTACTAGCAAGGGTGATTTTGGGCAAGTGCCTTCTCTCTGAGCCTCAGTTTTGTAATCTGTAAAATGGGGATAGTAATAATAGTAGTACTTCTTAAGGTTGTTGTGAGAGCTGCTAATTTATGAAAAGTGTTTAGAGCCATGCCTAACCATTAATATGTATAGAGTAAGCACTCCATACAAAATAGCTATATCATTTTTTATTATTCATCCTACTTCCTTGCAGATGTAGCCAGTACACATTACTGGCCCCTTCCCCCACCTCGTAGGACTAGCACCTGGCCCATACTTCTTCCTCTTCTGTCTGCCCTAGAGAAATTATTTCCAATCAAAACCACAAAAGAAAGAGAGGCACGTGTCACTTGGAAGTGATTTAGGTACCAGTTTAAATCATGTCAAACTGCCAGACTATTTCCCTAGTCCCCAATCCAAAAATGTAGTGTCATTTTGAAGCCCCAGGGCAGTCACTTGTGGCTCTGGAGGGAGAATCTGACATTGAAGGAGCCTGACCTTAATAGCTACAGACTAGCCATGCCAGTGAATTTTAGGGGATTTCTTACCATATTAATCATCTCCACAGTTGAGGAAATAGTTTTCCATTCCCTCCTTATGTTTGCAGTGTGAGTTTGTGGAGGATTTCTGTGTGTGAATTTTTAACACAAAGCACTTGAATGCCTTCTATCTTAGGTTATCATCTGATCTTTCACAGGAAGTCCCCCCAAATTGTCTATTCAAAACTAATATTTCTCATTTTCTTATTTTTTCTAAATTACAACAAAAAATTTAAATTTCATATCTGGTGGTCCATGAGGATATGTGAAATACTCAGGGTACAAAATTGAAAAAGGAATCTCAAAGCTTGCTTATTAGAGGAGTTCCTTTCATTATTTGAAACAAAAATTAATGTTCTGCATAGTTTTCTTTAGTTATGTAACAAAAATGTCATCAGCGTCTTGCTTTTTGTTTCTGGCTGTCTAAGGAAAACATTCCAGGCCCGTGATCTGTAAACTAGCCAGGGCAGTGAGTTTTTAAAAGACTGTTTTCATTCATGAACCACTGGGGCCTACAAGTAGGAGAAAAGCCTTACGTACTATTTCTTAAGGCACAAGAGCATTTTTTGTATTGAAGCATTTCTTTGCACAGCCTTTGAAGGATTCAATATATTAGATCTGAATTTTTCTTTTCTTTTCTAAAAGACTTTATTTTCTTGGAGCACTTTTAGGTTCACAACAAAATTGAGAGGAAGAGGAAATACAGATATTTCCTATATACCACCTACCCCCACACATGAAACACAGATCAAGGGTTTGGGATTCTACTCTTAGTCTATTATTTAAACTGTTTCCCTTTTCTGCAGAATCTTTGCACAGCTCCCATTGTGGCTGAAAAAGCTTGACTCTGTCTTCTGCCAGTTACTACAAAACAGAATCCTTTAATAGCATAGACCAAAAAAATGTAATGAGCACATTCTCTCTGCCTGCATTGTGTTAGGTGCAGATGATCATTGAGGAAGGGTGTGTGTAGAGGTTTTCAAAATGGGAAATAATATACCAGCAGTACTGGTTATGGGAGGCAGTTAAAGCCACATGGAGAAGTAAGACACTTAGAAAACCAGTGTGTTCTGGAACATAGATCTGGCAGTGATTGGAGAAAACTAATAATGAATGTTCGAGAGGTCAGTCTGGAGAAGACATGAAGCCTGAAGTGATTAGGAAATGAAGCTGGATGAGGGCAATGGGAATATCACAGGAGAGCATCCAAGAAACTTTGCAAAGAGAGAAATAACAGAATTTAGTGATAGAATATAGGGAAAGGAGGAGGAAAGGGTGATTTCAAAGGCTGTAATTGAGGACCCCAGAGGAAATGAGCTCTGAATAGTGGAAATTGGGAACATTATAAGAAAAGGCAGTTTGTCAGGGGAGAGGGAACATATATTTTGGACATTGAATTTGAGGCAAGAGTGGAATACTCAAATGGAGCAGTTGGAAATCTGGGACTGGATCCAAGGGGAGAGATTAGGACTAGGCATCCTTAGGATAGAAATTCTAGTCAAGGGATGCAAGTGATAAGCTGGTGATGGATAGATGAGGTAGTAAGAAACAGAAATGTGCAGAGGGCTGTAGACTGGATGGGAACCCTCTGAAAAGAGGAGGAGTTAGAGGAACAAGACAAGAAAATAAGGAGAAGAAAAAGGGACCAGAGGAGAACCATGGAATTCAGCAGGTGGGGTATTTTCAAGAAGCTTAAAACTTCTCAGCTTCGCCTCATCATACCTCGTATTCAGAAGAGGAAAAAGAACCAGTACTCCTACAGTTTTCATAGCTATTGATAAAGTACTAATGTTCATCAAAAAGGAACATTTGTTTCTTCTTGCAGTGTGAATTGGAGCCATGTAAAATAGGGTTTTAGAAAAAGCTATCTTGCCATATTGCAAATATTGCTTTCCATGGACATCTTTAGTCATTAAAACAAAACAAAAAAACGTCTGCCTTTGTCTCTTGAGTTCCTTGTTAAAGATAATACAGAAGATTTTCTCATTTTATCTCGTAGGCACAGCAGCCTGGGGAAAATTCTTCAGTGTGAAAACATCTATAGAGAAGGTCAACACATTAGTTGTTCTTTTACTCTGACTAAAGTGAAGGATTCCGGTTTTGACCAGCACAGTGTTCAAGTGATGGTCAAGGATAATGCAGGAAAAATTAGACCATCCTTCAATATAGTGCCTTTAACTTCTCGTGGTAAGTTTTGAAGTCCTCTATGATGGTGTGGATAAAGTATTATGTCTTTTGAACAATCAGTACAAATAATAAAAATGGATTTTGGTTTTAAGATCTTTCCAGAAAAAGGCTATATTTATATACCTTTTTTTGATCTTTCTTAAAGAAGCAAGCTTAGAAATTCTAATATTTACTTAGTACCTGTGCCACATGCTTTCTCATTGTTTACTTCTGAGTGCAGAGACTCAGAGCAGTTAGTTCTAGAACCAAGATTGGACCTCAGGCTTTCTGACTCTTAACATCTATTCTCTTTTACTTATAATACTTGGCAGGATGATGCTGCAGAATAAATATTATCGAATATAGTTCCTGAATAATCTATTTCATCGTTTAAAAAAGCTTAGATTGGAGGTGGAGTGATCAAGGGTGATATTCAAATTATCTAACATTCTGGGTGGTCCAGACCCTGATCAGGCAGAACAACCAGTGCAGCTGAGTGTCAGCCTATTAGAAAGAGCCTCCCAGTTGAAAATAAGATATCTGCTTGAGGTCTTAGCTTCTTCACTTTGGATACAGTATATACATTCTCTTTAAGTGTTTCCTCATCTTTGAAATGGGGTGCATAGTCCGTCTTGATCTCAAAGGATTGTACAGCTCACCATTGACCAGCACGCGTTTGAACTGTATGGTCCCATTTATGCGTGTATTTTTTTCCAATAAATCTGTACAGTACTATAATGTATTTTCTCTTATGAATTTCTTAACAATTTTTCTCTAGCTTTATTATATGAATACAGTATATAATACATACAAAAATGTGCATCATTTGACTGTTTATATTATTGGGAAAGCTTCTGTTCAATAGTAGGCTATTAGTTGTTACGTTTTTAGGGAGCCAAAAGTTGTATGCAGATACTAGAGGTGGCGATGACACCCTTAACCCCTCTGTTGTTCAAGGGTCAACTGTAGTAAGATCCAAATGATGTGAAGTGTATAAAAGTGTTTTGTAAATATCTAAAGCAGACTACTATAAGCATTATGTTTATTTATGTGTTGTAATATCCCAACAGGGAGCTCAGATTCTGGCTGTGGTACACTGAAAATTCACAGGCAAATAACCACGAATTGACAAAGGTTCCCAAGTCTGTGAGCAGAACACTGTTTGCTCTTGCAGATACTCATGAAAGTGAATTCTAGTAGTGAACCAAAGGCAACTTAGTTTGTAGGTCAGGGGAGTGAGGTTGAGGTAACATGCCAAGTGGGATAATCTGAAGCAAAGCCCTTCTCTGCCCTCTCCCTTGCTTGGCAGGTTGTCCTTGATGGACCTTTTGAAACTCCTGTTGTTAGTTTTCTGCCTAGTAGTGATGTAAAGGGAGATACTTCTTAGTTAGAAGGTGATATCTTCAGATTTTCTGTTAATTATTCATTCTCTTCTGTTTCTTGATCTTACACATAGTTGACTCCCAAAAAACTAAATTGACTAAGCTAAATTTTTTTTACTTTATTTTACATTGTAGTTATAATCACATAACATTAAATTTACCATCTTAACCATTCCTAAGTATTGTTCAGCAGTTAAGCATATTCACATTGTTGTGCAGGAGACTGCAAGAACTTTTTCATCTTGTAAAACTGAAACTCAGTGCCCCAAAACACTAATAATTCCCTCTCACTTCTCCCTCTGCTCTTGGCAACCACCTTCCTACTTTCTGTTTCTATGATTTTGACTACTTTAGATACCTCATATGAGTAGAATCACATAGTACTTGTTGTTTTGTGATGGGCTTATTTCACTAGCTTAATGTCCTTGAGGTTCATCCATGTTGTAGCATGCGACAGAGACTAGCTAATGTTTAAATTGTGGTCTTTGATTGGCAAAATAGGTGATAGCTGGGGAAATCCCTTGTACCTGGTGCCCCTGCCACCCATTAAGTAGAGGCACATCTGGACCAAGTACTTCTTTTCTTTACGATGCAGCTGGATGTCCTGATTATACCCTGGCCATGTTCTAACTAGATGCAGGTCAGAGTTAATGTCATCTGCCAGATACCCAGAGATGTTCCTTAGATCCATTTTACTAGGCAATTTAAAATAAGCTTCTTACATTAATCACGGCTAATCAGAAATCTAGACCTGTGTGTCTGATCATGTAAGGCCATTAAAAGTGTCAGTCCTGTTTTGATTTAACTTTGTGACCTGCGTTATGTGTATCTGCATATGTATCTCATCAAAATAAACTCTGGAAGCGAATTTGTTATTCTTCTATTTCTGTCTTTCAGTGCAACCTGATCCTCCACATATTAAAAGGCTCTTCTTCCAACATGGTGACTTATATGTGCTAGGCAAGAACCCACAGAATTTTGGTAGCAATTGTTTATCTTATCAAGTAGAAGTCAATAACAGCCAAACTGAAATGCATTATATCTTATCCGTAAGTTCTTTTTAGATTATTGTTTTTATTTGGATATTTTTCTTTCACTTGATTTTCTTACAGTGTAACACATTGAAATATCAATGAAATTAGCTCTTAGATTTGTCACATGATTATGATTATGATAATGAAACTTGTCTGAAATAGGGTGGTGGAAGGTTTGAAGGTTTATGGTAGTATTGACTGCAAGATTCAAGCCATACATTAATTCATTTGCTCAAAAATTTTTGTTAGCCCTGGCCAGTGTGGCTCAGTTGGTGGAGTGCCCTCCTGTGCACTGAAAGATCATTGGTTCGATTCCCGGTGAGAGCACACACCCAAGTTGTGGGCTTGATCCCCATTGGGGTTTGTGCAGGAGGCAGCTGGTCGATGTTTCTCTCTCTGTCCCTCTCCCTTCCTCTCCCTAAAAAATCAATAAAAAAATATTTAAAATAATTTTTTATTATGTATCTACCATGTGCCATGCACTATTTTATGTGTACATGACACCTGATGCAAAAGTTTTTTTCCATGAAGCTTACCTACTAGAAGATAAAAATACGTAAATGAACAAGCTAATTTCAGGGAATGGATGCTATGAAGAAAATTAAACGGGTGATGTAATAGAGTGGTGGGAGGGTCTGAGGAATATTAGGAGGGTAGTCATCCAAAGTGATGATATCTGAGATGAGACCAGAGTGATGAGCAGGAGCTAGCCATGTGAAGATCTCAGGTTGGAGGGGACAGCAAGTATGAAGACTGAGGCAGGAATGAGTGTGGCATGTGTGAAAAACAGAATTGACACTGGAGTCAGATCAGGTAGATACTTGGAGGCTCTGGTATGGCCATTCAGTTTTCTTGGAGTTTGAGGCAACTAAAGTATTCAAATTTAAGTAGTCACTATTGGTTGGATTATATTCAGTTTTACTATTCAGAATCTAATACAAAACATGCTAATTAAAGGTCCCTGTGGAGAACTGGGCATAATAGCATGTGGCATAACCTCAGGGCATCAGTCTCATTGATACACTTTAGAGTAGAAGTCACACACTGGGCCACAAAGTGGAGTTTTACTTGTTTTTTAAATTTGAATTTTTTGTCCAGATTTAAAACTGTCATACCCGAGGAGTGTAGTTTCCATAAGGTGGCGCCTCAAGACCACAGGGACTGTGCCACTCACTTACTTGTGTGCCACCTGCCCCAGCCCTGTGTACATTTGAGTTTTAGAGGGTTGAAAAACAAGTGTATTGTATTGGCTTTTAAAGGCGCCCAGCATCTCACACATAGGCAAATTCCTGAGTTCAGTTGTTTTAACTCATCATGGGAGTTTCAAAATACAGACTTACTGTGGTTTGACTTATATGCAAAAAGCGATACACATTTGGTAGAAACTGTACTTTGAATTTTGATTTTTAAAAATTTATCTTTATTATTGAAAGTGTTACAAATGTCCCCCTTCTT